AACGCTCACCTCACCAGCCCAGTGATGTAGCCTCTACGAATTCAAATCGAATTGTTATGTCGGCGTTAGAAGATGTAAAATCACAGTCATCCGGATCCCGGTCGTCACAGCATAGGTTTCGGGCAAGACATTCCCGACAAAGTGCTTGTCATTTGGACTTTACGATCTGCGATCAAAACATGTGTCATACATGGCACTTCATTCAGTTTGGCGTAATCAACTTGAAAATGGGAACAAAACATGGAACAACAATAAATTTGGGTTGAACGAAATAATTTGAATGCAGCAAATAAGACAGTCTGCGCCAATCGAGAGCAGGGCGAACCGTTGAGGTGGATTGCGCGCTCGCAGCTAAAAATTCGCGCCGCATACGCGCACTGCTGGACGGAGCGAAGAGATTGAAGAGAGAGCAGACAAGCAGGCCGTCGGAGTGATGCAAATCGCTAGCGACGCGGACTCCCTGATTTAGATTGGGGCAGAACTGTATATCAATCGATCCTTGAGGCTTACCTCCAGGACCTTCATCACTGCTTCTCGCTTTCTTGGCTGCATCTTGCCCTTCAGTGAAATTTTGTCTTTCCACGCTTTCTTCTCTAATTTTGCAATATTCCGTGACTTTCTATTAATTCTCTAAAAAAAAACAAAATAACAAAAAAAGCCGAGTATCGATCGCGCTAAACTACGTTTAAGTCACGGCCGGACCGCGTCTTATGTTTGCCACGTGTGGCTGTGCGGCGTAGCTCAGACACTCGCACCGGCTGGCGACCGTTCGACGGCTGGTCCGTCGCCGACATTTCGTCCGGAACGGTCGCGAGCCGGTACCCGAACGGCCGTCAGCTGGTACCCGTACGGCCGCCAGCCGGTATGCATCAATGGCGCAACGAAGTGGTACTGGTCCACAGTATTTCTTCCTCTAAATTCTAGCTTTCAGCACTGTAATCTCAGTACAGGGTGGTACGAATCTACATGAACATATTTATCATGACACTATACAGTGCGACAAACGCTGACAAAAAAAAAGAATGTCACACAGATCCACGAAAAATACGTTTGACTACAAAGCTAACCACATTTTATATATGTGTAAGGATAATTTAAAGCAGCAGGTTCGCACACCGTCGGACAAGCGTTCCGAATGCGTGGTGGGTCACAAAATGTTCTATTTCTTGAACTTCTAAACGCACACGCAATCAATAACAAGCTGCATTCGATGACCTGTAAATGAAACAAACCATTACCAATTTTTTAACTGATACCAGAACTTCATGCAATGCACAGAGTTGCTGTAATGCTTGTTAGTAGAGCCATACCAAAACATAAGCATTACAGCAAACATTTAGAATAGATGGCTGCATCAACTAGAAAACACTGCAATATTTTTAGATGTTGTTCAAAAAATGAACTTACGTCTTCTGGAGTGGGTTCAGCAGCCGTGACCACCAGATTAGCAGAAATGTAGTGGAATATCAGATAGTTTTCCGAATCGTAAATGTCAGCGTAATAGCAACTGCCATATGAACGGTATCCAGATGAATTTTAGAATACTCAGCAGATCAGAAATAGTCCAGAAACTCAAGAAATGTGAATATGTAAAGGCGCATCCATTAGGAGCAGTACTCGATTTTTTTACGAATACAACTGAGCAGCTGAACCAATCACTGTAGTTCCATCAGAAAGACAGGAACGCAAACGCCATACACAGCTGCAATGCAGCTGTTTCCTGAAAAATTGTGAACATCCAATGTGTATTTCTTTAGCTTGTATAAAAAGAATGCGACACATAGATTCCGCCTCACAGCAAATGGCATCTGATCTCACCCATGTTCTGCTTCTTAGCCATGCAATTCAAAAGAGCAAGATAGTAGAAAGAAGAGGTTACAAACATTATGGAGTTCCTCCAAATCTGAAAAAAAGAGGTTAACCATAAAAATGGGCTACATCAACTTACAAATTCGGACCCCAAACTTCTAAGTGACTCCAAAGCGTTGCTATTATCCTATTAGGCTTACGTAAACATAATCCAACCATAACGAAAAACCACAACAATAATAAAGGAAGTACAGCAGTAAAAGAGAATAAGTAAAGACAAGCTTGCTATTTAGCAGGCTCAATCACGCGATGTTTGAAATTATTTTCCTACTGTGTGCGCAATCCCTTGCACTGCTCGTGTTATGCACACTGGAACGGTCGCCAGCCGGCATTTGACTCCGCCCAAAATAATAGAACGGCCGCCGTCCGGAAGGCCGTCGTAGGCCGGTCGCCGGCCGGTGCGAGTGTCTGAGAGGTGAGACTTGCAGGATGAGCGAGACGCGAAAACGTTGGTGTTTTACCGTAATACGGCGTCGCATTCGAAGCCCCATTTTCGCAGTTTGAAAGCGATCTCAGCCGGGGACTTATGTTAGGGTTTACTAACAGGGGAAAGATACTTGGATGCCGTGGCCATTCATAATGATTTGTATACCAAAAAATGCGCCTTTGAATGCTGGTTCGTAAACTGTCTTTCATATCTGCGAAACGATAAGTTATAATTTTTTTTTCATTAGATAATTGCGTTACTGTAGAGGGTCAAAATCATCAATAAAAAATTTTCTCTCCTTTTCAACTGCTGAATGTGATTCTGATAGTCTAAATAAACAGTACTACGTCTAAAATTTTCTTCAGTAGCATCAAACGATAGGGTAGATCATATCTGGTGATTTCTACTATCCGAAAGTAGGCTAAATTTTTGAAAAAAAGTTCATAACTTCCTTCAAAAAGTCGTTTCGCAGATTCCGAGCACAGATTCAGAATCAGCATTTCGAGGTGCATTTTATGGTATACATTGCATTTCAAAGAGCCACGGCATCCAAGTATCCTTCCCTTGTAAGAGGGCCCCAGATTTTGAGCAAACAAGATTTCATACACGGAATTGACGGGGCGCTGTCTTTTACCCGCAGAAATGCTGGCTGCCGTACCGTACAACCAATTCGAACGCGCAGCGGTAGGCAATAGGTTTGTGCACGCGCCATACTTTACCCTTGATCACTGTACAGTCACACACACCAACAGTCGATTGTGCAGGCACCTTAGAACCGGCACAACGAGAGTCCGTGAGCAGCCCAGAAAATTGTAGAGTTCAATTAGTGGTGAAACAAGCGGACGAGGGCATATTCACCTTACGCTACTTTTGAATTCTTTCCAGGCTTTCGCTCAATGGCGACAGTTTGAGGAAAAAAATGTTTTTGAGCTTGCTGAAGCGATAAAGAGCTATAATAAACATTTTGGTTTGTTTCGCTTTATGAAAGGTGAAAGCTTCTGCGCTCAAATGCTCTCGTATCGCACCTAAAATTCACAAAACATGTTAAACTGAAACAAAACTCAATTACTTAAAAATGTAGCAGAAAGACTCTCATAGAACAAATAAAAAATTCTAAACCAAAGCAAGTTTAGTAAAGCTTTTTCAAAACATGGGTCCTGGAAACGGAAAATTAGCTCAACACAGTGTATAAAGAGATGATGCAAAATTGCTTTTTATGTTCTATCTGATGGTGATTGAAACGGGCTTCCTGCCTCATCTCTTCATTACAGAACTCCAAATAAACGCACTAAAAACCAAAACTCATCACATTCGTTTTTCTGGCCAGAATTCAGAAGCAAGTGTTGGCGCTCTTTCGAAAATTCAGCTATTGTGTAGAAATTGTCTACATTTTGCACACTCCTTTTTCTTTGAAAATTCAGCCGAGACATCGGCGCCTCAACATTTTATTGGCTATAAATTCCATTGAAAAGACAATCACCAAAGCGCTCATTCCTGTAGGCGTAAAGGTAGGACATCAAGTTGACAGATTTGTGAAAATATTTCGGTCAATACGCAGAAAATCGGAAAACCATACATCAGGACTTTAAGACTACTGAAAAATGCTAACAGAGCTGACAATTGTAGTTTTTATTTTTTCTCTCCCCCAATCATCTTTGTTCAAATCTTCTTCGTCCATGTTTACACCTGACTTGAGAGCACAAGATTAGTTACTTATCATCTATACTAACGAAATTTTGAGGGAGTCAATATTCGTCGCACGAGTGCAGGAAAAAATTCCTTTTGTTGCTCAATCCATGTTTTTCTGCTCGTTTCTAATGTGAATCTAGATTGATGTGCGCTGTGTTGGAAGAGGTTTGCTGCTTCTGATGGTCTTTATCGCTTTCTCTCAAAAGGGAACGCCTCCTCATAACCTTTTCTAAAGAACCGCATCGCAGATGTGGAAGGTAGATTTGAAATCATTTCATCATGAGGCGCCTAATATGCGGTTCATTCCAATTCGCCAACTTATAGGATCGTTCCCTTATTAGAAGCTTATAGATAGCACGTCAAAGTGGGATTTGAAGAACCAATTATCTCTTTGCACCTCTAATATTGGGTAGCCAAGATTACAATGGCGTTTTTTTGCGTTTTAGAAGTCAAAATTGTTTTAGAAACTAGTGCTGCTACAGGTGTGTGAATCTGCAAAGCATCTTCCTGTCTATCTTTAGCCCAAGTAAAGGTAATGCGCGAGATAAACACTCATAAAGACAGGAAGATTTAACACCTTTGATTCAACCATATTGGCGGCTGGAAGGTGGGGCTTTGTGGTCGTATCAATGCCACTTGCGCCCGCGACGCACTCTGCGTCTCTCTCGCCCGCATGCTCTCGATCGTTCTCCAGCCTTAACTAGGTCACAAAGCCCCGCCTTCCAGCCGCCGATCCACTTGAATCAAAGGGTACATGTACCTATACCTGCATTCTTTGCAATACATGCCATGCTTGCACTCAGCAATTCGATTTCTGATCTTCTTCATAGAAATTTTCGGAAATTAGAAAAAATAGTTCGAAATTGCAAGAGCTGAAAATGAAGCAGATAGTGCTTATTTCGCTGGCTGGACATTATTCTTTTTTGCTTATGATTGAGCAAAATTTACTTCTGTTATCTCCGCCAGAGCAAGAGCAGTAGCAAAGGCAACCTGATAAGAATGCCAGCCTTTTCCGATGAAGTTTCTGTTGTTGACTCTCCTTCCACTGATAGAAGCATTTACATGTCCCGCTAATACGATTTACCATGAGGAGTTTTCCAGGTAAGCTTCTTCACGTTTACCAAAAGAAAAGTACCAAAAAGTCTAATTTGCAGATGCTACAAGTTTTCCGCCGATTCACTGCCATTTTACATGGCTGAAGAAGCCTGCATAGATCTCGGTGGACATCTCGTCTCTCTTGGAAATGGACTCGAAAATGCAATGATAGCTGGTTGGTGAATAGTTAGCGTTACCAAGCTATAATTCTTCTGTTACCACCTCTTGACTCTACTTTTTCAGAGACGGCACAACAACAAAAAATTGGTTCATCCTATTTTATTGGTATCAATAAGCTGAACGGAAATGCTTGGAGTAACACAGATGGCGAACCAGTCAATTACACCAACTGGGCGAGCGGTAGGAGACAGCATAATTACTTAGAAATAAAGGGCTTTCGAGAAATTGCTCACATTTTGTTTTGTTTCATATGAACTGGTACTTGCTCAAAAAACAAAACATCTTCAACAAACAGAAGGGAGGTCAAACTCACATGATATCACGAAAAAGGGGAGACGGTCGTTTTGCACAACAATAAATAAAAATCAGCGTATCTAAAAACTCGCGCAAATTTTGCAGCGTGTTTAGTGCGATTACGGAGCTACATAGGAATACCTTAGCGCATTACAGTATTGCGAATCGGCCTACCCTGAGACAAAAAGGCGTACTTAAACGCTACTGAAAATGTTCAAATTATACAAATCAACCTTTCAATCAATATATTAATTAATCTGTCCAATACTTCGCTTTTAATCAGTCAACATTCAAAGTAGAACGAAATCGGAAAAAGAATAGTACCACAAGTTCATTGTTTGCAGTGAACTATATATAAATGGCTCTATTCAGCTAAAATCTTTAAGAAGGATGATCTTACTCCTGTTTCTGTAGTCAAACTCCAAGTCTTTATGTTCAAATGCTTATTGAAAATGAGCATTTTAGGACAGCCAACAATCTCCTCAGCTTGCGCTACTGCGACTTCCTCTGATGGAATATGGAAGTCGGTGGCGTGCTCAAGCTCATTTCCCTATGTCTGCGCTATTTCCACAATAGTTCCAGTAGTTACGTGTCCTCCATGCCCAACAATCGGATGTCCAGCCCCTCCAGGTTAGTTACATAACATCTTCCACACGTATACCAAGAGTATGCAATGCTGACTGCCGTTTTTTTAACTTAAGAGCAAACGAATCCCTGCTGAGAGAATAAGATGGAACTTGACGCAAGCTGAGTTCTTTTCCAGGCACCTTGAAAAAAATTTCTGAATCGAAAATTTCTGATTAAGCAACCAAACAAATTTAAAATGGAGAATTTATAAAACTGTGAAAATTCTAGCACCTCCTGGTCGATGCCAGTCTGGATGGACTTACTTTGCCAAGACTGACGCTTGTTACAAGGTAATCATGTTGTGCACATATTATCAAAGACTGTTCACATTACTCTTCTTGCTCGTCTATCTTCACTGGAATGATCTTGCGTCCTAGGCTATTCAATTCGATGCAAACAACAAACTGATGAAGTAGAAAGTAGAGCTCAAATTTCAGCAAATGTGCTTGAGTGGTTTTTCGGCAACTTGGCTCGCCACACGGAAATTCTTCGGTCAATGAGCTCACTTCACAAGAACTTAGAAATACGATGGAAACAGAATTTTCATCCTAGGCGCTTTTTTGTCGTTTTTGTGCTCTAGTCGTGTTTCTCCATGACGCTTTTTTGTGCTGTATGCAGTTCTAGTCACTGTGTGTAATTAAATGCTTATAATAACAATCTGTAGGTAATTTTTATACTTTTAGCACCTCGCAAGGTGCAGGCAAATATTTCAGAAAATTCTCATTCATTTTTGGGTGCAATCAGCATCCTTCTTCTTCGATCAGCAGGCATGCACTGGCGGCTCTCTCAAACAGTGAAAAGATTTAATTTGCGCCACCTGAATCCGAAATTTCAATATTCATTATTTCTTCTGCACGGAAAAAAGCATGCGCAAGTACACCTTTTTCTATTTGTACGAGAACTTGCATTTCTGATTAGAATCGAGTCAACTTTGAAATTTTTAAATCAGCTCAAATGATGTAGCTCATGACAAACTTCAGTTCGCTACTTACATACCAATATAGCAATCTTTGCAGTCTTTCCTGTGGGAGACTTTCGAAAATGCCGAGAACGTTTGTCAAGGAAATGGAGGACATTTGACATCCATTCACAGTTCTGATGAAGAGATTTTTGTCGCCAGTAAGTTTTTGCTGGTTTCTTCCTCGATTCGAAGGTTGCAAAAATATGACCCACATCCCACCTACATTTAGCGCTATCTATGTCGGGCAACACATACACCGACTCATCAGATCTAACCTGGATAGGTTTGAAGCAACTGAATTACCCAAGCAGCAAAGATTGGACTTGGACTGATGGAAGCAAAGTTGACTATCTGGCCTGGGCCCCAACTCAGCCAGACAATGCTGGCGGAGTGGAACATTGTGTTCAGGTAAGGTCACCATATTTACGAAAGATTAAAGATGAAGCAAATCTTTCGTTCTTTTCAATTTCTTGATCAGAACTACAGAGCAATTTATTGCATAGTACTTATTTGGATGCTTTTGCATTTTCTTGTGTAAATACGGAGCGTCCAAGCCGTGCCAGCGTGGTACCAGCGCCGTGTCAGCGTCGATTGATCAGTAAGGGTTCGCGTGGGTTCCGCCATTGTGCCGGCTCAACACAGCGCTGACACGGGCTGGCACAAGAGCAACTCTGGACGCTGCCAAAGCTGCAATGCAAATTAATATCTCAACTTTCAGCTCTACAGTGATCATTTCGGAAAAGATCCAAAAAAGGATAATAATTATCAGCGATGGAATGACATAGCGTGCGGTACCAGGTTGAGGGCTTTCGTATGCAAGAAGAAGTCGATACATTGATACACTATTGGTGTATTAGAATGATGCCCTATAAACTGTCAGGCTGATTTTGATCGAACGGAGCTGTATAGAAGAGATGACCCAGCTAAAAGATAGATAAGGCGTTTTCCATTTTCATTGAAAACATTCCCAATTCATTAGGGAATGACTTCAGGTCGACGTGAGCTTGGGAACGAAGTGAAAGGTCTAAGGCATAGACTTTAGCTCAAATTCTTCTGGATGGTGCTGTTTCCGGAAAACCAAGTGCACATGCACGAGTAATAAGGGGCTGCCAAGAGACAAACATATCCCACCAAAAATTATCTTTTATTAATTTTTTGCGTTGCTCACAGCAAGCTCGAATCTTACATATATAGGTTTTGTAGCGTGCTGATTACGAAAATGATAGTCTCAAGTTCTCATACCCTTCTCACATCAGTTTCTTAATTTTTACGGGAATTCCAGCGTAATGCTACCGTAGCCCCACCGTGAGACAGTAGTGAACAAAGTGGACACTATATCGTAACCAGCACGTGAAATAACCCCAAAACACAATCTCTTATAAAGATCCATGATGTTGCTTTTGTACAAAATGACTGTCGTAACCTTACCATATAACGCCAAACTACAATAAATCAATTTTTGATAATCAGTGCCCTAGAATACCCCTCTGGGAAAATTCTCGGAGACATGTTCTGAACTTTTTCCAAAAAGACTACCATTTCGGATAACACGACCCATAGGTGGGTCGTAAGCCTGACAAAGCGAAAAAGGCTCTGGTCCGAAACGGCAGTAATTGAAAAATTGGCCTTGTCGTGAATGTTTTGAATAGGATAAAGCAACGAACATGACTTCAAATCTTTCAAGCTACACTGCCCTGTTAAAGGCTTTTTGTGTAGACGAGCTACATTAGAGCTCCGTTTGGCGCGTACTCAAAACTAATGTCTAGTCTCGAACATGCTGTCTGCTCACAGAATAAAAATCCAGAGAATCAAAAAAATCATGTCTGTTGATATGAGGAAGTGAATTGATAACATTTTATCACGTCCCAAGTTGATGTTTTATACTTTTTTTTAACTAAATAGCGTGCTACGACGCTTCTATCGATTGTGTTAAAAAAACTGACACCGTCTAAGAACACATTCATACACATCCCCCGCGTTAAACCTTCAAGTCACTTTCTAATAACTGAAATTATTTGCATTGGCCTTTGAAAAGTTGTATTATGAGGGTTGATCACCTGGTTTAGGGAAAAGCTCGATGCCGCCTAGGAAAATGGCAAAGGGTTTATCATAATTGCTAGATCCGAGGTGCACCATAAAATTTGTTGAGCTATACATTATATTGATGTGTTTTTTTTAGTCGACGTTTCGTTTTTTGGGGGATTTTGGGGAATTTTTCAGGTTTTTAGAGAAAATTTGGTTGCGGGTCAAAGGGGACTTCGTAAAAATTCCCAAAAGTCAAGGGGGACTTCGTTTTTTCCATTTTCATCTAGCCACCTCGTGCCGAGCCCTGGTCGTGGCACGTCCATGGCTGCCACCGACTTTTTTCTGCCATAATTTTTTCAATTTTTGTAAATATTGATCTATATATCTAAAGCTATATTGAAGTGGAAAATTGTTCTATTTTTCTTTTCCTCCGATTTAGGCCGCAGATGTATTGCCAGAGATGGCACTCCAAGCCATCCAGTGCACCTCAAAGAAACCTAAGCTCGAGTTTATCCACTTTGATGTTTTCTATATTCTGCTTGACATAAGAAGGAATTTCATAAAGCTTTTGCGCACTTAAAGACACTTCGTAATCCTGTGACGTGATTCTCGCACTTGGTTGCTTTTTGAAAAACTCAGAAAACTCTGAAAAGTCCTTTCAGTTATGAAACTTGTTAGCCAAAGAGTATTGTTATATACTTTTTTTACATACTCCTTAGCACTTCACAGCACTGCCAGTCCTTCTTCCTTGAACATGTTGTGCGACCAGAAGAAATTTTCAAATGCATCCCAATTTTTAGCTCATAAATCGGGTGTTACGGAATGTGACAACAGTGTGATTCTCACGTTCTAGAACAACCTGCCATAAAAGCTACTCAGTTGTCCGAGCAAGACTGATAATGCTGCCAAGATCTTTGAAATCACATCCTCTTCCTTACACTTTTCAATTATACCATAATATCATATTATATGGCATGAAACCTCCAGCAGCGCAAAGTCTCACGGTCAATTACGTCAATTTCATTGCCAAAGAATGTCGTCAAATTCTTCAAAGCTATTTGATAAACAATCACAAGAACTCTCGCACTTTGCACGCTATGAATGAATGAAATTTTGGCCTATATAATGAAAAACTAATTTGCTTTTCTGACCAAATGCGCATGAATTTTTCCTCAAAGAACGTGAATGCTCTCGATTTATTAGGTTGGAAACTAAGTTTTGTAACTGGTCTCATAACTTCCCTCTCACTCAACATGGCACACTCAAATTGTGCCACTGCGTTGGTTATTACGTAAGCTACAAGCGCAGCTGCTGTTCTACCAAATTCTGACGTAGCAGTGAGGGTTACGGTAGGTGCATGGTATGAAGGGGAAAAATTCAAAATTCGACGGATTTGGCTGAAATTTGGCATAGGGGTGTTATCCGACATGCTGATCATGAAAACGATAGTGAAATTGCGTGATAAGGGCTTTCTTGTAGGATTACTGTAGGTGTACGATATGGGGTCTCACCCTAAACAAGGAAAAAGGCGTTGAATCAACAAGTGATTGTGACAATTGCGTTTGGCAGGTCAAATAACCTTACTATGTAAAGTCTCGGCGGAATTTGAGCTTCGGACTCTTTAGTCATTGACAGTCGTCCCCGCACCTCTTGCGTACATCGACTCGTTCGACTTTATGAGGACGCCAAATCTCGACATGCCCCTAAATTTTGTTTCTTTCTTACTAGGCCAAAGGAGTTAACCTCCAGCAATAATTTGTAGACGAATCCGGATTATCGCGCATGGTCTAGGCTGCCAAAGGCTTCATTTTAGCTTAAAACCCCAAAAATTCTCAAATTTCACTAGTTTTCGAAAAACGCCTGAAACTTTTCTATTTCGTGTTCAAAACTTAGACAATTTGTGCTCAGTTGTAGCTCACATTGCCTTCTACATAATGCTAAAGTTTGAATGCGCCATATCCAAAAAGAGTGAAGTTATGAAACCAGTTGCAAAACTTAGTTTCCAGCCTAATAAATAAGTAATAAAAGTGTCATATATGACTGTCTTGTCTCATATTTCAAATGCAATCAAGTACATTAAAAAAACCAAATAGTCGCGGACTTTGTGAGCATTCTTATTCTAAAGGGTTCAACTTACAAATGTGGATAAATCATTTGGAGCTCAAAATTTAGGTGCATGATTCACTCAAAAATCAAAGCAACATAAAAGAATTGCAAAGCATTGAGATAATTTATGCATTGCCACGTGTTCTGCATTTCAAATTATTTTGATTGTTTTTCTGCACAAAACACTACTTTTCCAACTATTTTGTTAGTGCGACATTGATCTGAATTCTTGAAAATCAGCTAACTCAAAATTCTCCTTTCCAAATCTTAATATCAATTGAATGATTTTAAGGCAAGAAATTGCTCCTGGAACTGCTACAATCTGGCCCAGTAAAGGTTATTTCAACAACATTTTAGCAAACCAGCGATCAACGATAACGAACTGATAAACCGTCAGTTTTCGCTATGTCGTCGACCTTTATACTGCTAATCCCCACTCATAGCAATCGTTTATGATAAGTTACTGTTACTGAAAATTTAAGCACTTCAAATGCAAGCGTTTTACGCTGCGTTATCATATGTGGAAGGGAACATCCTATTCTGCAACATTAGCTTCCTCTATCGAAATTCTTTTTTCCTTCATAATCTTAACTTTTTTGTTATTTTGCTGCACATCAAACGAATAGTTATATCTTTTCTTCTTGTGACATTTCTCCACGTTTCGTAGCTCTAAGCTGTTCTGAGATTGTATAATGACTTTCAGCATGAATTCAAAGCGTTAAAATATATATCGTGGGTTGTGTTAAAGTTCCTGTCGTTTTGATCTCGCAGAGACTCGTACTCTATCTATTCATTAGCTTTCAAAGTATTTGATTTGAGAACTAAGCAAGCTCTACAAAATATCCCAGACATTCGCACAAGTTTTATTCCTATGAAAGTCGAAGCATGAAAGTAAAACCTCTCAAACTTGAAGGTCAGAGTGAAAAATCTTTGGACCGCAGTTAATCATGAATATTTCCCTCATCAGACATTCAAGAATGTGCACATTTGCTGCATCTTCTTAATGGCAAGAAATCGAAAAAGCAAAAAGTGGCTTGCTTTGCTAAAGAATGCTAGACTTTCTATACTCCAAACTCTTGGCATATTAGCCTTTCAATAACTTCATGAAAAAACTCGAAACCTATTTTATCAATCGATTTTTCAAATGTGGAGAAAATTCAGCAACACTATACTGACAATATCGAATCAATCACTTGAGCTACATGAGATCATAAATGCCTGAGATAGAAGTGTATACACCTCATTGTTAGGCCCTTATAAGGGAGGTTTAGTAGGTATTTCTGAGAAATTTGAAAGTTTAGAGAGAAATGCTTGGACGCCAATTTGTACAGATTACTATTGTCTAAACTTGAGTCCGAAAATTATGGGACGAGAAAATGGATCAAAAATATCAGTGTGGTGTCATACATGTTCCAGGTGATCCGGGCATTAGAAAATAGGTAACAGGTAGCCACATGTTTACATTCGGAGTGAACACACTATTTCATACTGATGTGTTTTAGAACAGCTACTGTTTTCTTATTTTGAATGAAAATAATGTTATGGTCACATACTCGGGTCGCTCTTCGTTCTTAACGTCATAAAAAGCTTTTTTCTAAATCTAATAAATGCTACAATCTGACAGGTCTGTCTGGGACAAAAGGAAGTTGGCACAAAAATCATTGTTCAGTGACTGCTGATAACGAATTATCACAGGTTCAGCTAAGA